TTGCAAAAAAACCTGTTCGTTGTAGTATAACACCATAGTTTATGTTATATATATTTTTTTCATTACGCTTTTCCAACATGGACAGCCAAAACCTTTCTCAGGTTTTGTAAAAATAATGATTGAAGTATGATATTATTTTTTTTATCTTTATGTTAAATTTTTGTACAGAACGAAAAAAGAAAAGAATTGTAAATTGTTATCCATATGACCATACAGAAATGTTGACATTATGCGCTGATTTCTATTTTAAGCAGGTTGAAATATCTAAAACCACTTAAGGTATAGCGTACAGTAAAAAAACTCATCAGAGATACCAGGCTTGAGATTTCCACGCAAGACGCGCGTTTCGTCTACAAAAGACTCATCAGTGACGCTCGAATAAAAAAAGTTAAATGCCAATCAGTACGGAGTTCGAAAGCATCAAGGACTCAAAATTCCGAAATATTTTGCTAAATACAGCTGATTTGACCAAATACAGCTAAATAAGGGTAATATATTCCTAGGAAGGAAATCCTTAGCATTTCGAAGAATTTAACGTTATGTAAACAGTTTATCTATAAATGTGTGTGTATGGTGGTCGTTATATCATAGCCGCGTAAGGAAACGGCCTGAAATATTATAGATATTTGAATATAAAGAATTATTTGAAATATATGCAAAATTAACTAAGATATGTCAACCAATGCAAATCTTTTTGTGCAAATTCATTATTTTATTCTAATTATCATAAAAATTAAATCATTGTGGTTTGTTTATCACTTGTAAATACAAATGTCTAATTGACATCATGATAAATAGAGTAGAAACTGTAACATTTGTCATGTTGAAATAACTCTTATTAAATTATGCGTTTTTAAAGGAAATGAGGTGTTCTTAAAATAAGCAATTTTAATCATGTATATAATTGACGCAATTAAATATTTCCTCAATTGTCAGGTCATGTCTTTTTCAATAAAGAAAAGTTCACAGGCAAAACATTAAATATTTGTTGAAATTCGTTATAAAAGAAACATTGACCACCTATAGTTGCCTCTTTAGGTTTTCTTCCTCATTCTTTTGATGTAGGATAAGAGGTTATATTGACATAAAGTAATGCGGCAGGGGTTACTTGTGATACAAGTGAATTGCGGTTCTTAAAATGGGCATAAAAGTTGTAGAAAGTAACCTGTGATATCTTTGGCAAGTCGAGATGCATTGTGGGAAGAACATTGTCGATTTTTCATTTTGTTTTCAATACGATAGACATTTTTGGATGCCGATTATATTTCTGTTGTTGCAAGTCATTAATACAAACGGCTGGCCATCGTATCGATTTAATATTCCTAACGGAAACGTCGTTCCAAATCCTTGTAATCCAACCGATATATGGACGGCTGTAGGACATGGGAAACCTAAAGTATTTGCTCCACGAAATCCTTTTGGAGAAGATTTCTTACGATATGGCCTGGTAAGTAAATATTTCAAATCGTCTAATCAACCCTTATAAATAGAAACCTGACGGATACTGTATCTTGCACGGCTCCCGATATTTGGCAAAGGAAAGGAAATGTGACATTTTTCTGTTTATTCATTCATTTCAGTTTAAAAAAGTATCGAAATAACTCACTAAAATTAAATTTAAAGTACATTTCCCAATGTTTTCTTCTACACATTTCGTTTTTCAACAGGATGTCTCCTAGTATTCATTTTTTGTTTGCAACGACGTTTTTTAAATATGACGATTAACTCAAGAAAAAATAATTTATAAATTTTATGTGTAAATTTCGAGACTTAAATTCAAGAAGTTTGAGAACGAAATTGTACGAGGCATCCTCTAGATATAAAACAAAAATGTAGTGAAAGAATGTAGGTCAAATTTTATAGTAGCGTATAACTATTTTTTATCAAACTATAAAATAATAAAGGTATGTCCTACAAAATTAGATACAAAAGTCATAAAACAGGGATAGGTCACTTATTATATATATCGACATCTAAGTATGTCATACAAACTTTGAAACAACCTTTTAAAGCAAATATTATTATATAACTGGTCTATTTAATAAGGACTAAAACATGGAACTAAATGCTTTTGTCCTATATTTCGTTCCAACAATCACTGAAAAGGTCCGTTATTTATACGGTTTAAATTCGTTTACAGTTAAAACTGTTATTTTATGCCACAAATCTCATAATCGAAATTTTAAACATAAATGTTTTAAATTTTAAAAAGATTTTATTTTTATTTTATTTTTTATTCATTCTGTGTAGTAGAATAGATTTTTGAATTGTTTTTATCGAAACCTACATCACAAGTTTCTATTAAATTTGTTTTCTTTATGTGTATTTCTTTACTCAATTCGTTAGACATTCTAGTATTTAGTTCTTTCTCAATTATGCATATCGCATCAAATATTATTTTTTTCATTTCTAAAAAAAGGTTCTAGCATCCGTTGTCAAGTATATATCAAATTAATTAATAAGCGTATATGCAAGATATCACCATACATCAAGTTAGATTGTCAGCAGAGACTTCAAATTATCTACTTATAAAGGAGACAGTTAAAAATATGCTGATCATGCATGAAGACGTGCAGATTGCAAAATATAATAAATTTCCCCATAGCCCATAGGCGACAATAGTAGCCTTTTTCGAGATACAGACTTGATTTTAAAAGGAAACACCTTGCTAGAATATAAGAAAAAATATTAAAACAGTATGTTTGTAGTAAAATAAATATAGGTTCCCGTGGGTTTTCTTAACACACGCTGTACTTATTTCTATTGCCTGTCAATTCTGTACTTGGAAATACGTGTCTCAACACAGCGTAGAAAAGTTTTCTTTTACTCGTTCCTTTAAGGATAATGAAAATATATCGTTTTCCCTTTGATATAATGCAAGGAGCACGAATTCTCCGTAATACAAAATATAGGCTGCACTTCACAACCAATCAGGATTAGCCCTATTCTTAATTTTAAACACTACTAATCTTCATAAAATAGCTGCGCTAATAATACTCAAAGGTGTCATGGTATTGTAACCTGCAAGACTTTCTTGTGTTATCTATGTTGTATACTTGTTTTCAGTATTATCTCTCCTTCATTCTTTATTCGTCATACATACTAAACGAACAAAAACATAAAAAGAAGTTTAAAAAAAAACAGCTTTAAAATTAAAACAAAATAAATATCGATATTTATTAGTATTACAAGGCTCTAAAAAGCTGAAATTGTGTTCTGATTGTTTGTTTGTTTTTTTTCAAATTCTTGTTCAAAATGTATTGTTTCCATCTCATAGTAATGTGTATTCCATTTATAATGTTACAAAAATAATCGTGTTCATAAACATCAAATATTCTGTTGACAAGAAAATGAACTACGGTCAGTAGATGTCTTCTATCGGTATTTAGATAAAAATCAAGTTTCATTCACCAATTCAACCAGTAATTAAATCTTTATTTAGGTTTTGATTTTTAAAATGTCTGTGATCATTATTAAGATTTTTCTTTTTAGATAAAACCAACTCCAGTAAAGGAAGTTACCAACTTACCGTATAACCTTAATTTCAATTACCATATTCGACTTCAGTCACAATCACGTTAAACAAATATAGATCCGGAGAAGAAGTTTATAAAATGATATTCTCCGAAGCACAAAACAGAATAAAAACAAGAACAATCGACCACGGAAAGAAAATATTTGAGAATTGCATGAGCATAGTAAGAATGGGTATACACATAATAAAAATCTGTAAGGGTTCTGCGGAACCCAGTGTCTCGCCTACTTTTGCTGTTGTCTATGTTTTCAGAGTAAAAGGGGAATGCACATAATAGATTTACAGTTAATGAAATAAAACGTTTGAAATGAATGAAAAAGTTATGCTTTTAAAAAATGAATACAGTATGCAATCAAATATATAGTTTTATAAAAGAGTTGAATCATAAATTTATTGAATGAACAAATAAAAAAGAAGATAATTTTCAAATAAGTTTGGTAAAAATCCAGGATGGTTTATGAATCTAATAAATGTTTTAAAAACTTTAACTGCAGACTGTATGAAATGTTAACTGGAAGAAAACCTAAGTCCATTTATAAGTAATATACGGGAAAACAGGAAAATTTACTTCTTGATACTATCTTATGATCATAACCAATCTTCTGTCCAAGTTTGGTAGAAATCCAGGATAGTTTAAGAAAGTTATTAAAATTTCAAAAACTTTAACCACAGAGTAAATATTTGTCGCCGCCGCCGCCGACGACGACGACGGAATGTAGGATCGCTATGTCTCGCTTTTGCTACAAAAGTCGCAGGCTCGACAAAAAGCAAAAGAATATTCACATACAACCAAAAAATATTTGTGCTCCAGATGAATGATAAAAAGCCTCCATGTATATATAATAAAAATTTGAATGACAATGGTATATAATGAACTCTTACTGACAATTGTTTGTTAAACATTTTTGTTTATACTATCAACAATTATCAAGATTACTTAGTCTTTAATATAAATTTTATGTTTTTTTTTATGAAACCACGCACCAAAGAAAGGAAGTTACACATTATAAAGAAGAATATGTGCTTTGATCTACTGTTAAATGTGAAGGTTTTTGGCATTTGGATTAAAATAATTCATAACTTTAACAGTACCAATTTTACTGCACCAGATGCACATTTCGACAAATAATGTATCTTCAGTGATGCTCGGGGCAAAAAAATCAAAAGCATAAAACAAACGTCGAAGAGCCGATCAAACCTAAAAGGACTTGAATTATAGCCAAATCCGGAAAAGGAATCAAAGCTTTGCATGAGGGAGATATATTTCATAAATTAATTTCTATTTCATTCAAATTCTTTAACATAACTGTTTAACACTTACAGACATGGAACACATATGTAACGATAACTTTGTATGACCGATTCTGATGGAGATGGTCGTACCAATGGAGATATATTTCTTAAATTAATTTCTATGTCATTCAAATTTCCTAACATGACTGATTAACACTAAATTACAGACATGGAACAGATACCTTTGTATGACCGATTCTGATGGAGATGGCCGTACAAATGGGGAGGAGCTTGGCGACCCGACCTGTGAATGGGAGCAAACAAATCCAACATCGTTGTCAACTACTGTTTCACATCCAGGTTATACATACACTGTTAATAATTGCTTCATATATATGAGGGCCTAGATGGGTGTTCTTCAATTCTGCAAGCCATTTTTCTGTATTCTTTATAAATTTTGCCGATAATTCTCTTTTGTGCATTTTTTTTTCTGTTCTTTATATCTTTTGCCTTTTATTCTGCACTTTTTCCCCATTATTCTTTATTGTTTAAACCCCATCCAGACCCTCATATATAAGAAATAAACTTCATGAAAACAAATACATAACACGGAATGCCCATAACTGTCAATTTAAGTACATATTCAGCATTTTGTAGACCCCAATTAACACTTTATGAATTTATTTACAAGTATTTAAGGTCTTCTATTTCTGAAGTAAAACGTTGCATACAAATAGTTAACCGGCTTACTCGCATTTAGCGACTTTCCCCTCAGTCGATACAAAACCTAAAAGAGTACCAAATCGACGGGAAATATCAGAATCGTGAACAGCTATCAGATAAATGCTACCAAGAAAAATATTCAAAGTCTTGTACAGTTTAATCAAGAAGAATGAAACTGAATTTTATTATAAGTAATACCGCCATTTTAAACGTCATGGCACACTATTAACTTTTAATCCTGTTATCTTTGATGAGTTTATTTACAACACTTATAGATATATTCAATTTATATTTTAGGAGTTTGCGAGCCAATAGATAGTCCCGTATGTGCACAGAAATCTGACAATCATAAGTGTCCTAGTCAAAGAAAACTTGATTGTCCTTCGTTTTCAAGGAATGGTAATTACTTAACAAATGCATATAAGAATTGTGCGTAAAAACTAGTACACAAACACAGAGACAAGTGTGGGCGTAAACAATAGATAACACGGGAAATTAAAGTTACTCAAGGAAGGAAGATGGGTGTCTAAATTGAAAACGATAGAATTTGAATACTTTGCCAGAATGTAGTTTTTATCATCCTACATTGAAAAATAAAGTACTAAGTGAAAAGTATGGGTCAAGATCTAGACATTTAGACCGATTGTTTTCTGTTAGTTTACTTTCAAAGATGGCAGAAGACATCCGATCAAACTCAATACGACCACCAATTAAAGAATAACTAGCAATCCTTCCACATCTACTTATTTCTATATTCAAACTCAATAAGAATTTGAATAGTAAGCCTGTTCTATTATGGTTGTGTGCATTGGAATGGTTTCGATGATTTTTGAGCTGATTGTATACATAATGAAAACTATAAACAAGTAACTCGAAAAAATGAATTTCCACATTAAAAAGGAAATGTACCAGAAATTTTCATCTCCTTTGTGTATGGTTTCACTATTTGGCGTTTAATTTGTGTTTATTGTTCTATTTCCATCACCTTATTGTGGTTGTACTTTACAGATACAGAACAGTTAAAAATAAATATGACCAATGCGCATGTTCCAATGAAACTATCATCATATGTATGTTTGGAAGTAAGATTGCCATATGATAAGGACTATCATCTACTTGCTGCAGAACCAATCATAGACCAGACGAAAATAGTGGACCAAATACAGATATTTGCCTGTGGTAATCTCATTTTTTATTTATAAATAGCAGTTTAAAAAAATGGATTCAAAATTGCATAGGAAGTTCAAAATCTAAGCAAAGTCACCTGAGTAACATACATTCGGATTCAAAACAATGGGTTAAAAAGCTCAATGATAAAACTGTAGTTGCACAAGTGGTCAGTTGCAACAACATTGGCTAACACGATTAGGGTGTCCGTTTAAAAAGTACTGTAACATTTTTATATGTTAGGTCAAGTGTTTCATGTAATTGTATCAGTTTTACTTATTTTCATTAATAATCGTTTAATACAGTTAGAAATCATCAGAAATATTAATCAAGAGTTATATTTAGATTTATTTGTTTGACTAGTGAGCAGTTATGATTTGCATTTGGTGCCCTAGGAAATTTATGTTATGGAAACCCAAAGCCCGGTTGCCATAGTGCCCGGTTGACCTAGAAATTATTCCTTTGTCAGCATTTATCTGCCCTAACCGGGCGAATGTATTTCCATATTTGTATCCGGGCTGTGTATCAGCTGTGTATGGTCGAATATAACGACCTGAAACTTAGACACCCAACAACACAACAAAAAACACCACTTTTTTTTCGTCGCAGTACTTATTTTGAATGTGTATTATATGTATTTATTATGCATTAAACGGAAAGAATTTTGGTAAATTAAGTATAAAAAAGCATGATTACTGCTAACAGCAAACTTTTGATGCGGAATTATTTTGATTATGCCTTATGGAAGATTTTTCTTTCTTTGACTCATTTCCTTTTTCTCCAGTGTAAGATTGTGATAAGGTATATTCAACCAGCGGTGTCAATCATATGTTGATTTTCAAAAATATTAATGATCGGCTCCACAATCTTTAATCTCAATTTTCACTATTTTGCAGATAGATAAAAAATACATTACTCTGTCCGCCATACACTGTAGCTATTACCCACGTACAATTGAAAGATCGACTACATCTTCTCATCAATAAGTCATCTTTTGCAATATATAAATTTATTTTATTAAAAAAAAATGTGTTTCATTTGATTTTTAAGCTCTGTTTATACAGCTATGACATTGTTGTCACATCTAAAGATGCTGGAATAAGATGAATTTGTACGTTTATTTTTCGTTTTTGTTTCGTTGTGTTTATTGCAGATTCTGGTCTTCACTCTTGAGTGTATAACCATCCATTTGAATGTGGCTTTATAGTAGATTCTGGTCTTCACTCTCGAGTGTATAACCATCAATTTGAATGTTGCTTTTATTGCAGATTCTAGTCTTCATTCTCGAGTGTATAACCATCTATTCGAATGTGGCTTTATTGCAAATTCTGGTTTTCACTCCAAGTGTATAACCATTCATTTGAATGTGGCTTTATTGCAGATTCTGGTCTTCACTCTCGAGTGTATAACCATCCATTTGAATGTGGAGAGAAACCTCGTGGAGATTGTCAAAGTCTAATAGGTGGTTATTCAAGGCATGAGAAAGGAATTTGTTTCCCGCCAAAATCAGGTTATAGAATAGGCAAGACTGGGTGCAGGCAAATTATTTTCCAGGTATTGTAGTATTTCATGATATTGAACTATAAAATATAAGAAAAACAGGAATCACTACGGACAGTTCCATGTCTACTCACATTAACGAGTTTTATATGGGGAACAGAGTATGTTACTCTTAGATATATATTACATTGAACCACGGACTGATATTACTTTTAAATTCAAGTCAAGTGTAACTGAGACATTAATTTGCAATTGCGCCAGCTATAGCTGATATTTTGTTGCAGTCTTCACTAAAGTAGTTCAGATAATTTTGTAGTCAGTACTGGGGTACTAGTACTTGAGATCTCTTTGTAGTCATGACTGGAATATTTCAATTGAATTTGTACATTTATCATCTGTGTTTCGTTGCTTTATTGTAGATTCTGGTCTTCACTCTCGAGTGTATAACCATCCATTTGAATGTGGCGAGAAACCTCGTGAAGGTTGTCAAAGTCTAATAGGTGGTAATATAGTCAGGAGTGAAATATCTCTTAGTAGTCATGACTGAAATATTTTAATTGATATTTCAGTAAGGTTTAGAGTATTTGAGATCACTTTCTCTTCCTGGAATCGGTTTCAGTCGGTATTTGAGATCACTTGGAGGTCAGAACTAGAGTATTTGGGATCACGTAGTAGTCATGTCTTGAAAACTTAAGATCGTTTTGTAGCTAGTCATGTCTGAAGTAGCGGAGATCTTTTTGAGGTCAGATCTTGAATGGATGAGACCTCTTTGTAGTAAGGTATTGAGTAGCTAAGATATATTTGTTGTTAAATCTTTATAAGCTAAAATCGTTCTGTTTTAAGGTTGGGAATGGCTGAAATAAATGTGTAGTCATGTTTTTGCATTGTTATATGATATTTTGATATTCATATGTTTTGGTTACATCTCCACTTGTCCAACCGCTTCGTAATATCTTAGAAATAAAACAGAACAGCGTTATCTCGTTTACAAAGACATGTGTGTGTGGATAAGAAAGTGAATTACCAATAACTATCATTATAATAAATAAATTGTGTCCCTGTTAGAATTATGGCGGTTGGGTTGTTTTGTTGACAGAAATGAAGAAAAAACACACTAACTTCGAACAAGATATTTTAATAATCATTTACGCGAAGAAATTGTTTGATAGTGATCTGAGGTTTTTTGTATTGTTTACGACGGACAACGATAATGCACGCAAAGTGATTAAGATGTGGATGGGGGTTTACAGAATAGAGCATAATGGGTAAAAAATACAAAGAATAGAGATAAATGGACCAAAAAAGTAAAGAATAGAGAAAAATGAACCAAAAAAAAGTAAAGAAAAGAGAATAATTAGGTGCTTAAATATAAAAAATATATAGATAATAATGGGCATAAAGTATAAAAAAGAGAAGAATGGTAAAAAAAAATTAAAGCATACAGAAACGAAGGTCCCCATCCCGACCCTTAGTGATAGCAATAGATAAAATGAACGTATTGTGGCAAATTTATTTCAAACAAGCCATTGTTTTTCCTTGGTTTCGAAACAACTGAATTCTAAGATTTGAAATTGGAAAATATTTGTTAAAGGATGTATTCTTCTGATGTTTCATTCTCGTTGTAATCTCGTTCGGGAATTATTTCCAAAGCATGTGATGCAAATGGAAAATATCAATGAATCTAAAAAATATTATAATCAAACTAAACTCTGTGAAAAAATTGTGTACTTACAATAAGTAGTTTTTGAGTAATAACATTTTCAAATTTTATATCCAATCTGGTCAGTGTCATCAGCCAAAATGTTGAGAAAATGGGTGAGGAGTACAAAGAAATGTTTTTATTAAAAATATGTACATCCCATATCAATTTTTTCTTTTCAAAATTCTGAGATATGTATTTTTTCAATCATTTACAACAAAGAGGAGGTGTACATACTTAAACAGTGTTCTTATTTAATGTAGTCTGCAAGTTGAGAATACGTCCGCTTTTTTTGTCATTGTTATATCTGAATGATCAAAATATTTCATTCAGTATGAATTGAGTTTTGTACTTGCCAATATCAATGTCGCTTTACATCATAAATTTGAACAGTCTAAAACGCAACGGGACATGCAAGGACTTGAATTGAATTGAAACTTAATGAAACCTCTATAAAATATGACAGTTAATCTTTTTGTCACTTCTTTCAGATTAGATATAAGAACCCATATTTAAATCCAGCATTATATGACAGCTCAGGGATAACTTTGTACTACACTAGTTACCTACAACGTTTTGAACTTGGAAATAAATTGATTTCCGTTACCCACTTTACTCTACCTACTGGAATGAAAACTACCACAATAACTTCTGAGTATCCAGGAGAATGTTCTACCATGCAAATGTCAAGACCAATCTATATAACAGGCGCCTTCATTCATATGCACAGTTATGGTAAGTTTTATTTTGTGCTAATTATTATTATTATTATTATTGTTGTTGTAATTTTGCAATTTTCATATTATCATCAAATATTGTAAGCATCACAGATCAAAATTAATAATTTCTTTATTAAGGTTGATTAAATGTGTTGTTGCTGTTATATTATTTTTGTTACGTAAAAAGGTATAAATTATGTCAAATGTTCTAATGATATTTCTAATTTTGTTCTGTTGTTTGTCTTTTGGTCGTTTTTCGTTTTTTGCCATGACATTGTCAGTTTTTTTTTTGACTTAGGAGTTTGAATATCCCTTTTATATCTTTTGCCTCTTTTTTAGCGATCAAAAATAAGTGTGAAAAGCAGCAGTTAAGCAAAGTATGACACGTCCATTGTTAAATTTATTAGTACAAAGTTCTTTGTTGCATTTCAACCGTTGCTATATCATTGTATTGTAAATCTACAAAGCATTTATTACTCATCCGCATTTGGCATGAATATATGGATATTGTTTAATGGAAATTTGCTGCTATTAATTTTTTGAATTAATTCTTAATTAATGAATAATTCTCCCTCATGCATGTCCGGATTTGGCTAGACTTTCGGTCCTTTTGGTTTGATCAGCTCTTCAGCTTTTGTGTAAGTTGATGATTTTAAAATATTTGGCCTAGAGTATTATTGAAGAGACATTAATTGCAAATGCGCATCTGCTGCAGTAAAATTGCTATCGTTAATGTTATAATTCTCAATAGACATTTTCGAAAAGTCATCTACACGGACACTTATACCGACACCGATACCTACACTGACTAAAAAATTAGAGGGACCGTATCAAAATTACAAAATATACCGAATGAGTTACCTCGTAAAACTAAGTTGGACTCTGCAGAGGTAAAAAATAAAAATATAATCCAAATCCAATTTGGTTTTATGTGTTTTTTAATTCGGAATCTGAACATGAAACACTAAGAGCTCTCGTTTGTTTTGGAATTCCTTTAGTGATAAATTTGTGATATTCCAACTAGTTGTCGAATCATACTGATTGGTCTTTTTAAAGCATTAATTTGCATTGCATTATGCCGTATGTGGATAAATTACTAAAGTAATCGGGTTTCAAGAGCTAAATTGACAGCGCGTCATCCCTATAGGGGCTACCATTTTCACGATTGAAAAAAAAATGAAGAGATAATTTTGACGAAGTAGAATCTTGACTTTCTGTATAAAGTTCTATTAATTTACTCAAAGCCTACCATTTCATTTACACAGTATATAATATGAAAATCGGTCAATTCTCAGCTTCAAAACAGAGCCAATTCATTAACAAATCATTGAGAAAAATATATTGTATAAATACAAATTAGATAAATACTTTATAAATGCCTGTGCTAATTGTACACCTCGAGATGACCCTTCTCAAACAGGTTACCTGTCGTCCTAGGCATAGGTGTAAGCATCAGTATCGATAAGTTTTCGATGTCTAATAAGAGTACTCTAAGTATTTATGTTGCAGGATTGTATTTCATATATATTATTTTAAGTAAGATCCCTTTTCAATTATTTGTTGCGTGGCTGGAAAGAGTGCAACGTTAACCCATTGAAACATTTTATGGCGGGAGTAACATTTAGTTTTTGTTTCAGGTCGTCAACAGATCGTTGAATTGATAAGAGACGGCGTTCCTGTTGAAGTCATAGCTGATGGAACCGGATTCAAAGCCCATAATCTAAGGGGAACACAGTAAGTGGACAGAATCTGACCACACCTCCGTTTGTCATTAATATTATTATAATTATAAATTAACTGTTTACAAAAATTAGATTTTTGTCTAAATACTAAGGATTTTCTTCCCCCGGAATAGATTACTTAAGCTGTATTTGGCAAAAATATTCGGAATTCTAGGTCCTAAATGCTCTTCAACTTCTTACTTTATTTGGCCTTATCAACTTTTTTCATTCGAGCGTCACAGATGATTCCCTTGTAGACGAAAAGCACGTCTATCATTTATGGGCATCATCTGGAGCAGAAAATTGGCACCGTTAATATTACTACTACCACTGGTTTCATATCTCTATTGATGGACTGTAAGTCACCAAGGGTATCACCATCCAAGCATCCAAAACATATGTACTGGCATGCAAATACAGATATTGTTTTATTGAAATTTGCTGTTATAAATTTTGAAAATCATTTTGTAGTAGAGAATTGATAAGAAGAAGTGGATTCGTAAACGATAATCAACGAGCGACTTTAGTCGCAAGTTGATTATTGTTTCCGAATCCACTACTTCTTATCAATTCTCTAGCTTAACCCATTTCTAGTAAAACGACTGTCTGTTTTACGTTTTGACAATGAATCAACGATATTTCATAAAAATAGTTTCGTATTTTGTCTTTTTTATTCTATAATAGCTGAAAATGATTATATCCACACGGTTTGCATCTATATTTAGACATTTGACAAGTGAACATAAGTTTAAGATAACTTAAATGGGGGTGTTAACTCCTTTTTTTAACACCAGATTTTATTTTTGTATATACATATTTCATTTATTGTAAATTATTTAAATTGAATAGATTTTGGTATATTTAATTTATTCAAAAAGACATATATTAATTTACAGAATTTATTTATCTTGTTTTTGAAAAGTA